TTTTTTAGTAATGTTTTTTAAATGTTAATGCTTGTGTGAACCACCCAGAGTCCCCCATTGAGGGGAGATGGGCAGGGGAGTAAGTAAGTAAGTAAGTAAATAAGGATTCTTGAATTAAGTAGTACACTGGAGTTGATGAACTAAATGCCCCTTAAAGTTCTGATTCCATTTCTTGATGAAATCATGAGAAGTCAGTTATCTATATAATGACCAACAGGTGTAAAAATGAGAAGCAGCAGCTGTAATACAACAAACCCTGATGGGAAGACATAACACTAATGTTTTGCCATCATATTTTAAACCGAAGCATCACCAGTGCTGTGAGGTCACTGAAGATACAGATCTTTCAAGAACGTCAGAGCAAATAATATCTCTCCTGTATTACAGAGATGGTAGCAGAGCATGAGACCATTTAGTATGAACCTGTTATTCCTTTCAGATATAGAAATTAGGCACTGAGATGTTTCAGGAGTATGAAGTATTAAGAGGAATAGTATTTCAGATTTATGAAGAAGGCAAACACTTCATAATTCCTCTAAAAAGTGGGATTAGGATTGCCTGACTACATGACACCCAGATGATTGATGAATTCCAAGTGGTAATAATCTGGTTATCCAATTTTTCAGCGTCTTAAGAAAGAACATAACTGTGATATTATAGGCAAGATGAGACAGAAACAGCCTTGCAATACAAGATAGTCTTATTACTGAGAAAAAAAGGAATGGATCCAGATTTTACTTGGCCCTGTTTCTTGCAAATATACAGTATGTATACTTCCATCAAAACACTATGTAAGGCTCTCTTACTCTCTTGCACATTTGTCAGGAAGGTTACAGAACAAGTTAAAGGCTGGCTCAAGGTCATTTAATAAGTTTCATATTATTTAGAATTTGATAAGTTCTAAAATCTGGCTTTTTGTAGAACTGGCTGAATTTGTAAAAAGCAGACCTCAAAGAAAACTGCAAGTCCAACTGACAAATCTGGTTTTTCTTTTTTTAATAATGTTATCGAAGTTTTTAGTAAATGTAGTAAAAAGTAATACAAACTAAACTAGAAGAAAAAAGAAAAGTAAAAGAAAAATTCAGAGGTGCAGGGAAAAGAAAAGAAAAGACAATAATAAAGAAGTGGCTTCCAAATTTCATCGCACTGAGCATAAGGTAATATAACTTTTTCACCCTCTTTTAAAATTACAAATAAAAAACCCCTCTTCTTCCCATAGCCTAACTTTTATCTATGCACAATCCACAAATCATTTTTTCAATCCTGGTTCAGCAAAACATCCATTAGGAGTTGCCAGAAATATCAAATAGTTTATCCCTGATCAAATAGTCCAACGTTATATTCCTTCTTTTTGCTCTTCACAATCTTAACCTTTAAATCATTCCAATGGTATTGCAGGATTTGATCCTTCATCAATCTTTAGCATTGAGAGAAGTCTTCAAAGCTTTCACCAGCCTACTTTGTAAATCCCATAAAGAGGCATCGTCCAGG